GCCGGTTCGCGAACATTTGCGGAAGTTCGCGTTCGCCGTTCGCGAACCGAAAATTTCGGGTTCGCGACATCACTACTGGTGGACAAAAATTCTTTCCTTCTTCGACAAAGCTGCTGTCCAATTCACTCTGCATGGAAGTCCATTATTCAGCAGTATCTTCCCGGTCAAGAAAAAGATGAGAGATTTTCGACCAGTCATCAACCTTCGGCAACTCAATGGCTGTGTAGTATACCGTCACTATCCACCTGCTTCGGGACCTTCTGCTGGGCAATGACTGGTTCACTAACTCAATCTTAAAGACGTGTATCTCTTGGGGTCTATCGTGCCGGAGAGTCGACAATTCCTACAGTTCATTTGGAGGTGACGGGCTTGCCACTTCACGTTTCTGCCATTCAGCCTCGGCTCAGCCCTGCGGTGTTTCACGAAGCTACTGAGGCTGGTCATGGTCTATTTTTGATCCAAAGGCATCCTTTGCCTTTTATACCTGGATGATTTGCTGATCTTCTGCGACACAGTGTCCAGACTGCGCTCTTAGACGCAATTTGTAGTAAACTGACAAAAGTCAGCACATTCCTCCAGCCTTGGCCGAATCAGGGATCTTTTACACTTTCTCACCTTTATCCATGCTGGCAAGAGTACTCCACTACACATGGCTACACAGTGTCCCTTCTACTTATTGCTCCCCTATGAGTCAACCGTGGCTCCCTGATCTTCTTGAATGCTCGTACGACCATCCACGTCTACTACCCTTGTTTCCCTTTCTTTTAACGGGACCACACAAGGAGCCACACCCTCTAGTGGTAGAGGAAAAAATGGATCTCGTGGCTTGGACAATTTCCAGGGATCCTGGTTGGTCCACAAACTATCGTGAGTTGCTAAGGATCTTTTATGGCACTCCTGGGCTCCCACCACTAGGAGATGCTACAGCTTAGCCTGGGATGCTTGGTACAGTTTGTGTTTGGAAATGGATTCTGATCCCTTTACAATGCCTATCCCAGTCATATTGAACTACTAATCTCATCTTTTTCCCATGGGTCATTCATACCAATTTATTAACGTGGTACCCTTGGCTATCCAGTGGGGCAAGACCCCCTTGTGTGTGTTGCCTTTTGAGATGCATTAAGTTGTCCAGGCCTCCAGCACCTAAATATTCTCATTTCTGGGATGTGTATGTAGTACTAAGTTTCCTTCCGGAATGGCCGGACAATAAGAGTTTTTTCTTCGACAACTATTAGCTAAACTGACACTGTTATTGTGTCTCATTTCCTTCCGTCGAGTCTAGGACGTTTGGACGTTCCCAGTTTTTTCTTCTTGCCAGACGGGTCATTTTTTTAATTTCACGATTCACCAAGTCGGACTCCAAATTCCATTTTTTATCAGTTTTTCCAGGCCGCTCTGCGGCTATGCATTGTGGACGCCCTATTACAGTATGTAGAAGTTTCATCGCTACGAGCTACACCCTCAGGACAATTTCTCATTTTCTATGTTAAACCCCATAAATCTGTCACGACCACGACTTTAGCTAGATGGATTCGCTGGTTGTTGTCCATGGCTGGGGTTGAATTATGTTTTGGTGCTCACTCTGTCCGTGGTACGGCTGAGTCACAGGCTTTTTCGGTCGGTGTGTCTCTCTTGGACATTATGAAATGTGCAGTTTGGACACGAGAACATACTTTCCATGTTTTTTGTTTCTTGTTTTTTACTTTACATAGTCTTCTCATACTTCTTTTGTTTTTCTAAAATTCTCTTGCACACAACCCAAGTAACAGCACACTCTCAGAAAGGCTCCTGAGAACAAGTGCCATCAAGATTGCTAGCCATCATAGATGGTACTATGACATATGAAGTATGTTATATTATATATAGTGTAATGCACAGAGAGCCATTTCATGAGGTCTGAAACTGGATAGTGAGAGCTGTGCTTATTCCCCAGTCAGCACCAAGACATAGAACTTGGAGATAATTGTACATGTCATTTTGGACACTTCAGGGGAATCAGTAATGTAATAGAGTATGTGTGCATTTGAATTTCATTCCACTGAACATAGGTGGTTAATACCATTAGCAGTTCAGTACTATGGGATTGTAATTCTCATTTGGCACTAAAAGGTGTCACACAGAAAATGTGTTGCCCAATAAGTGAATCCGCTAATCTTTGCTTTGTGCCAGAGGTATGGTTCCGATACCACAGTACTATAAGGTATAAAAATGAAAATGAACCTCAGCACTCTGCACAATTTGGTGCAATGGTGTTTTATTCAGTCATTACAGAAAGACAATGTTTTGACACACTGGCTGTCTCTCAATCCTTGGGGAAAAAATGTTACGTGTGGGGGAGCAAATTTTTTAATTATTTACCTTCTGTACATTAGTTGAAAAGATTTAAATAACCATCAAAGCAATCTCCAGATTATTATAGTCATGTTTGTATTTATTTATTCATTTTTTTTTTTAATTCTTTATTTTTTCAGTGCATAAAGAATAATACAGGTTCGCCTGCAATGCCCCAACAGTTAGAGCAAGCATATAAACGGTTACAGTAAATTAGGTCTGTAGCATTGTGAGAGTACAGCACTAGTTTTAGGTGTTAGTATATTCAGGTTGGTCACATTAGATGTTAGTAGCATGGAGGTAATATATGAGAACTTGCGGAATTATGTGATGTAGCTATTTTGAAGCAGTGTCATAAAAGATAAGTCATATGGTAGCTGGTTAGACGATTGTAAAGTAACGTAACATTAACAATAACTAAAGCACTATAACACATTAGGTAACTTGTCAGAGTATATCCCCCGGAAAGCCACTTTGTAGGTGGTCTAGTAGGGGAGAAAATTGCAAGGTGGAAGTCATTGTACATAACCGCAGTGAAGTGCTTCTGTGGGTGTTGTATGCCACTGTGGTGCTGTGATAAAACCTCTATAACCCCGAGCTCAAGGGGGGTGAGGCAGAGGGTCTTTGTTATCCGCTCGTCGTGTGATGACACTGACAGCCATTTGTTCGGGCGTATGACGTCACCTGACTGTAGGGTGAATTAACCCTTCTTGTGACTAAGAGGGGTGTTGCCTGAGTGCAGACTAATGTTGCGCTTGGCCAATTAGGTGAGTGTTGATTTGTATAAGATTTAAAAAAATAAAATTAGAACAAATATAAAATATGGAACATGTATGGCCACCATAGAAACAATCATATTAGTGGTAAACAATGGTACATCTGGAACCTCCTGGTTCAGGTCTTATGCGAGTCTCCCAGCACTTCAAGTAGCACTAGGGAGCCTGCCTGTGCTCAGAACTCGGAAGGAGGTTGATGGACTTGTGACAGATCCGGCTGGTTGGAACAGTAATAAATTGGACATGTCCCAGGTATGTAAGGACTTCGGAGTTGAGTGGCAGTCCCAGTGCCATGAACACAGAGTCCATTTCTGATGACTCATTTATACAGATAGTTTTGCTTCCGTGAGAGATGACCAGTCCCCGGGGAATACCCAGCGATATGGTACAGAGTGTTGGCATAGCATGCTGGTCAGTGGTCTAAACGGGCTTCATCATATCAAGGTGGTCCTGGACAGATCTTGATATAAGGTTAAGTAGGCATTTTCAAAAAAGTAGGAGGGTTGTCCCCTCACTGCCGACATGAGGGCTAGTTGTGCTGACCTTGTTTGGAGCTGTAGAATGACATCCCTTGGGGATTCCGCCAGAGCTCTGGCTGCTTTTGGAATGTAATAAACCCTGTCTGTTATGGCCCATTTGGCCTGCTTTGAGGTAAGTATTGTGGTCAGAAGCCTCCTGAGGTAGTGCAGCAGTTCATCAGGGGTCACAGTCTCCGGGATTCCCCTGATTTTAACATTCCGGCTTCTGTGTCGTATCCTCCATGGCGTCTAAGCGGTTGGTAAGTAGTGTATGGGCTTGCTGCAGTTCTTTAGTTTGCAATTCTATCGTTCAACATCTCGTGTTGAGGCCCTGCGTGTTCTCTTCTGCTTTCCAGACTTGGCCTTCCATGTGGTGTATCTCCTCCCACACTGCAGCGAGTTCTGCCATGAATGAATTAAAGAAATAATAGAGAGAATGTGTCCGGTTGCTGTTGGTTAAACCCCTAGGTAAAATATAACTAAGAGAAGAGAACAAAAAAGCCTGAAAGGGAATAGATAGACCTAAACACTTCCCCTTCAAGTTTTAAGAATATTAGAGCAACCCCATCTACACTGGCAGAAATTAAAAAGAATAAAATATAACTTTTGTCTTGGGTTAAAATCCCTATATTTCATAATGAAAAGTGAAAGAAAACAGGGGGGGGGGGAACAAAAAAACAAACCAACAAAAGGAGATAAATGCTAAACAGTACTACCCCTGTCGGTTAATAGCACCTATGGCATGGGGATTTCCAAAATAAAAATAAAGAGATAGTTTCAGTATACCAAAAACTACAGTTAGGTAACTAATCCCCCAACTTCCATCACCCAGTGCCAACGTAATAGTAAAATATCTTATCCCCCTAACGATATATGTAGCCAAAACTACCTTGTAGCCACATCAAAAGGTATGTTAAAATATAGCAGGGTGGCTAATCCAGGAAAGAAATGTAGGCTGCAGCATTATCCCCTGTCACCCCTGCCACCCTCTGCTACTAATGTCTCGACGCGCGTTTTGCCGAGTATCGGCTCTTCCAAGGGGGAGCTGTAGGATGACATCCCTTGGGGATTCTGTTGGAGCTCTGGGTGCTTTTGGAATGTAATAAATGTAATAAACTCTGTCTGTTATGGCCTATGTGGCCTGCTTTGAGGTAAGTATTGTGGTCAGAAACTTCCTGAGGTAGTGCGGCAGTTCGTCAGGGGTTACAGTCTCCGGGATTCCCCTGATTTTAACATTCCGGCTCCTGTGTCGATCCTCCATGGCATCTTAGCAGTTGGTAAGTAGTGTCTGGGCTTTCTGCAGCTCTTTAGTTTGCAATTCTATCATTTGTCCAAATTGTACTTTCAGGACTTGCCCTTCCACGTGGTGTATCACCTCCCGCGCTGCAGCGATGTCTGCCACGAACATCGTTTGGATATTGCAGAGAGGTGCTTTAATGTCTCCTTTAGTGGAGGGCAACTTGTTGTCCTCATCTGAGGAGAAGTGGTGCGGTTCCCCAGTGTTCGGGAACTCATCCAGCTCATCCAGTGTTTGTTCTTCTGAGGAGGCAGAGGTTGAGTCGCCATTTTCTTTAGGCACGGGGACTCCCGAGGCCTTAGCTGGATGGAGTAAAAGGTCGCTGATATCGCGGGCCGCTGCTAATTTGAGGGGTCCCTGAGGGCTTCTTACCCATCATGGAATATCTCTTTCAGGGTTGTAAGTATTAGATATCAGTGGCTTAAAAATGCTTTTTTCAGGCTTGGCGTGAACTATCCTCACACCTATTTTTTCTTTTTTTTAAATTAAAATTGTATAATTGTTTATGATTTGGATTATTGTTTTATATTTAGCAGATTAAATTATTTTGAACTTGTGTAATTTAAAGTTCGGTCTTGCAATTTGTATAAGAAGCATTTTATTGAAGGATGCATGTTGAAAAACATGAAATTTAATCACACATTTTAGATTTTTGCAGAGTTTTGAAATTCTGAAGCGTATTCTTAGCTCTGAAAATAACTGTGTTGATGTACATAGATCTTGAAACTACTATCTAGCATGCTGTATGAGATTTAGATAATGAATATGCCTGAGACATTTTTGAAATTTTGCTTTTTGGTTCCTTAACGACGAGTGACGGCCAAGGTCCGTCACTCAGGGGATTGCCATAACGACGAGTGATGGACTTTGTCCATCACCCGTTCAAATTAACCCCGGATAGTGCTAGGGAAATGAGTGTTTTTCTGGCTAACGCGGCGATCGCTGAGTTAATGGTGCTCCGGTCTGCCTCTGTATTTTTTTAACCCTAAGGGTTAATTTTTTTTTAACCCTCAGGGGTTAAATTTATTTAATTAAATATTTTAAAATTATATGTTTAGCTAGCTGGGGTGGGTGGAAGTTAGTGGGGAATTGGGAGATTTGGTGTTAGGCTAACTAGGGGTTAACGTTAAAAAAAGTTTTAAAATAAACTTTAAAAAGTTAAAAATGAAGCTAAAAAAAAAAATGTAATAACGTTTAAGTAAAAAATAAAAAAACACCCCCCTTTACCCAGTCCAAATAAAAATTAACCCCTTCCCTGCCAGTCGATCACTGCCTACAGTGATCAAAACACAGATCACAGTATGATACTGTGATCTAATTTTTTTTTAACCCCCGAGGATTCACTTTTATTCATTTTTTAACCTGCAGGGGTTCAATTTATTTAATTAATTAATTTCAATATTTTATAATTATATACTTTGCTAGCTGGGGTGGGTGGGAGTTATGGGAAAATGGGGAATTTACTGTTAGTGCTGCTTACTGCTAGTTAGGCGTTAACAGTAAAAAAAAAGCTTAGAAAAATGTTAAATCTGTAAAAAAAGTTTTAAGAAAGTTTAGGAAAGTTTTAAAAAAAATAAGCAAAACAAAAGTTTAAAAACTAGTTTTTAAAAGTAAAAAAAGTTTCAAAAAGTAAAAAAATACATTTAAAAAACGCTCATTACCACTACACCTGGAACAAACTAGAGGAAAAAGGATCCCACGCTAACGTTCAAAATATGCCTTTTGAATTACCCCAGGGTGTATTCTTTAATAAATAGTATGAGTTTATGGGGAAGTTTCAATAACCAACCGTCTAAACTACTCCAAATTGGAACATGGACACAGCGTAAAACTTCAAACATATGAAGTATTATACAGTCGTAGCACACATAAGGTTTGCTAAATATACTGTGCAAACTCACTTTGTGTGTCAAAAAGGCAGAAAGAACGCTTATTACCACTACACTTGGTACAAGCTAGCAGAAAAATGATCCCACACTAAGGTTCAAAATATACCTTTTGAAATACCCTGGGGTGTCTACTTTAAGAAATGGTAGGCCTTTGAGGGGTAGTTTGAATTTAAACCCTGCTAAGATGCTTGGAAATTGCACATAGGCCCAGCGTCAACATTCAAAGTTCGGTAAAAACTGATATGGCTTGGTCTACTATATGGCTTCACAAAATCATTCATTGGGGGTGTCTTTACTCAGAAGACTTAGCCAAGCATAATTCGGGGGGTTTGAACTTAGTGGCACATGTGAAATATACAAAATACCCAGCAAAAATGCAATCCATATGTAAAAAACGCACACAATTATTTTTTATCACATACTTTAGCATATATTGGTTAAAAATGGGGGCATGTTAAGGCACAATATGCACCTTATGAGATACCCTGGAGTGTCTACTTTTACAAATGGTAGGCCTTTGTGGGCTTTTTTGAACAGTCAAACTGTTATAACACCCCAAATGGAAGCATAGTCTCATTAAATCCATCTCTCAAAATTCTACTGTGAAAACTGAAAAGAACAGGCCTCCTATATGGCACTGTAACTTCACGAAATAATGCCAAAGACATACAATGGGGGTGTCATTTTACTCAGCAGATGTAACTAAACACAAAATAAAACTTTGTACAGGAATAGCAAACACCAACTTTACAAAATACACATGAGAATTTCTTTGTTATAAGTTTGTGTGCCAAAAACCAAAAAAAAACCACAATTTTACTCCAATATTTAGCAGAGGTTGACGGTGAAATGGCTACGTAGAAAGTGTCAAAACAACCCTAGGTAAATAGCCTGTGATGTCTACTTTATATAAATATATACTTTTGTGTGGCAATTTTGTTTTCTTTTATGGCTATTAAGCTTACAAGACAAACATCCCAAATTCTAAAATCGCTCCACATTAAAGGTTTAGTTTACTCTTTGTGCTTTGTGACCTGTAACTACCAAAAAAAAACTTAAAATCCCAGACACATTATATATTCTGTAAATCAGAACAACTAAATGAATTTATTTTTAATTACTTTCCTTAACCTGCACTAATTATGCACACATTATTATTGCAAAAACTGTAAAAAAAAACAAATATTTTCATTTTTCTGTATTTTTTTATAATAAATAAGCATTTATATATATGCGTGTTACATCAAATTAAAGCCATTTCTGTCCTTTAAAAAAAATGATATAATATATGGCGGTGCAATAAATTAGTAAAATGCAAATTGCAGTTGAACGCAAACAGCAAAAAATGAAATAAATGCTGTTGTCATTAAAGGACCACTATAGTGCCAGAAAAACACTCATTTCCCTGGCACTATAGGGCCCTGAGGGTGCCCCCACCCTCAGTGACCCCCTCCTGCCCGGCTCTGGGGAGAAGAAAGGGGTATCTCTTCCAGCGCTGGGCGGGGAGCTCTTCTCCTCCGATCCTCCTCTTCTCCTCCCATTCGTCTGAATGTGCACGCGCGGCAAGAGCTGCGCGCGCATTCATCCGGTCTCATAGGACGCTTGTGTGTTCTCACTGTGATTTTCAATGAGACAGCCACTAGAGGCTTTGAGGGCTGGATTAACCCATTTATAAACATAGCAGTTTCTCTGAAACTGCTATGTTTATAAAAAAATGGGTTAACCCTAGCTGGACCTGGCACCCAGACCACTTCATTAAGCTGAAGTGGTCTGGGTGCCTAGAGTGGTCCTTTAAGTGAAATACAAGCTTCTGAAGCTCTGTTTTTAAGGGGTAAAAAAAAAAAAAACACAAAACCATGAAAGGATTGTTGATGGTGGTTTATTGGCTGATTATCTAATGGACACTAATAAACTGTTTCTATAGATAGTTAGCTATCTCTCATGCAAAATCCTTCAGAAGCTATAGAACAGACTTGCATAAACTCTGACCCTCCATATGTTGCTGAACTACAACTCCCATGATTCTCAGCCTATTTAATTCATAGAATCATGGGAGTTTTAGTTCAACAACATCGGAGGGCCGCAGTTTGGGGAAGCCTGCTATGGAATAGGTTTTGAATACCAGAAGTAAGTTTGCACACAAGTAGCTTTAACAGGGAATCGGTAAAATGTTATAGGTTTTCCTCCTGGTAATAAATTAAGTGGATTTTCTGTCCAAAAATGTTAAGGTAATTGATTCATACTGATATCATTCACACTGAAACGTCCAATTCCTTGTTATCATCAAGATGGTGAGATATATTACTTTTAATTTTTAATAATTGGATTTGAATGAAGATATTATCCTAGCTTCACATTCTTGGACAAGAGAATGTGGCTATCCTCTTTGTGAAATTATGCAAAATTACTAGAAATTCAGGAAAGGGTGGGACTATAGCTGTCTTGAATGTTACTTACAATAAGCAAGAAGCTCTGAGATAGTTTAAAGGTAGAAGAACCTAAAAGCTGAATTTTAATAATGTAAAACCACTTTGATGATGACAAGGAGTTGAATGTATATCCCCTGAGGAGGTTGAATGTTTTCAAGAAAATATGCAGGGATATTTTTATTGTATTAACCTAACTATAGTTTCTAACGATATATTTGTGTTCACCTGTTTCTGCATAGCAATACGTCCTAGAATTCTCTGAAGTACAATTGCCATATGCTGTTTCAACTCTGTTTATAAGCAGATATTTAAAAATATTATGTTCTTTATCATTGTGTATATGTTTATTTCTAAAACATTCTTGACTGGTTACATGACTGAGTATGGTTTGTGCTGCTGGCAACTCTTATAAACCTCTCCATTTTAAAGATTTTTGTGTATTTCTGGGGACCTTTTGGTTTTAACTCCCAATATATATTTTGTTTCATATATTTTTATTTGGTGCAATGTTTTGGCTTTAAATGAACAACAGCACCTTCTATAGAAGAACTGGTATCGATATCTAAACAGTTCTTTGAGGAAAACGGGGGATGTTAGCCTAGTCAATGTGTGGGCAACATATGAATGCATATCAAGAGGATATTTAATTAAAAAAGAAGTAATCTCAAGAAAAAAAAATCACTTTAAGTCGTTTAAAAAAAAAATCTCTAATTTTAAAGACTCGAAAATGAGTCAAAATGACCACAATTCAAAGACAGATTCAGGATCAATTGATTATAAATGTCAATAATAATATAATGAAAATGAAACAGAAATTGTATTACTTGGGTAATAGAGCAAATAAAATATTGATTAAAAACGGAATCTAAGGAATAGAATATTTAAAATAATTGAAGAGGATAAGGAATATACTAGCCCAGAAGATATAGAGCAGATGTTTGAAGACTTCTACTCAAAATTATGTAATATTTTGGATCAGTTAAA